TCTGTTATTTTCTCCCTCACTTTTGTTCTCTCCTTTGACTGACTGTAGTATAGACCTCAAGTGTTTTTTATTATTGTTACAATTATTGGATTGAATTTAACGGCTCTGACTGACCCTGCAAATACAAAGCACAGCTCTGTCTCAGTCGTTGAGGCGTCCCCTTTGCTCCCAAGCCCTGGCTGCAGAACACACCCTCTCCCTGTTCTGCGCTGTGAGCTCCCTGGTGGCAGAGACTGTTGTGAAGCCGAGATCCGGGCCTCGGGGAGCCGGCCCTGTTGGCCACGATGACGATTAGAGCAATCACAGCAACACTTCCAGTAGATATTGGCAGAACACGCTGCTGCTGCCCACGCGGGATGCGGCCGCTGCAAAGGAAAGCACCGTTGACCTGAGAACCATGTGGCTAGAACTGCGCAGGTCCACTTCTATGTGGATATTTAAAAATAAATACTGTAAATGTACTTTCTCTTCTTTATGATTTTCTTAATATTTTCTTTTCTCCTGCTTGCTTTATTAAAACAGTAGATAATACATATGATATACAAAATATGTGGTAAATCAACTGTTCATATTATCAGTAAGGCTTCCAGTCAGTTGTAGGCTCATAGTTAAGTTGTGGGGGAGTCTAAACTTATATGTGGATTTTCGACTGCGCAGGGTTCAACATCCCTATCCCCCATGTTGTTCAAGCATTAACTGTACAACAAAGGTAGCTGGTGATCACACGGTGCGTGTCACCGGGAGCTTCAGGGCCGGTGGGGTCAGTGGCAGGTCCTGCTGGGTTGGAGCGCGGTAGCCAGGAGCGCTTTGCTCCCAGGCTTTCAGCAGAGGCTCAGGCTGAGCTCCAAGAGGGCGGGGAAGTGCAGGCACTTAGATGAGAGCCAGGCAGACCGGAGCCCAACCCCTGCCACTGCCCTCCACAGCACCCGCGTGCCTGCGGAAGGTTATGCACCCCCGCTTCTGTTTACTCACGCACACCCAATCCGAATGAGAGACGGATATGGTGTACGGCTCAGTGACAGACCTTAATAGATGCTCTTATTTTAACTAGTGCTTGTATGTGCCTGGCGTTGACACTAGTCCCCTCACAGGAGGAAACGGAAGCTTGGAATAGTTGAAGTTTCCCCCAAGATCCCATGGAGCAGGAGAGGAGCTGGCATTGACACCACCCATTAGGCAGTACCTGAAGGGTTCAGAGGCGGGGCCTGTAGGAAAGCTCAGATTCTCACGTCCGTCACTGCAAGGCCCTACTGGCATGCCGCACCTGCATTCATTCCGGGACCCACGGGCTCCGCCGGCCATTCCCCGCCCTTCCCGCAGAGATGTGCGGGCGCCGCGCTCAGGCCAAGCCTCCCCGCCGTCACCAGCCCTGCTTCCTCCATCAGCCTTCGGGCGGGTGAGAAGAAGGGGAAAAGAGCAGAGGCTGTGGGTGGGAAAGAAAGGGTGGGTACCAAGGGCCCAGCCAGGGTTTTGAGTCAATAGGTGTCTCAAGTAATCCTCTCACTTCCCAGGAGCCCCGGAGGTGCACCAACCCGTGAATAAAAGCATTGTCGTGGCGCCATCTACTGCCCCATGGGTTCACTGCAACAAATTTGTGGTGAAACCGGGTCTGGGTCTCTGGATGGGGCTTTGCCAGCCTGGCTGGAGACAGTGGCCAGCAGTGTCCTGAGACCCATGGAGACAGTTCTTTGGGGTCTTTTGTGGATTGTCAGGGTTTAGGGATTTTTTTTAATGTGAAACAGTGGTTTGCCTGCAATAGATTATAACAGCCCGGCATCCCCAACCCTCTCACAAAGAAGGCTTATCCCACCTTCCCGGCTGGGACAAGAAAGGGATTTTTCCTTTTGGGGTCTTGGCTTTTGTACCTTGCAGGGCATTTTTGCCCCATAAAAATGGACCCCAGCCACCTTCTACAGATACACACATGCTGGCATGAAATACCATTTAGGCCACTACAAAATGAAGCATTAAAATATTATTTTCCCCCCTTTAAAACAGGTACTCCATGACCGACCGTGAGGAGCTTAGAGACATAAAAAGGCAGGCACGAAAGTGGTTACTCTTCTGAGGCTCCAGTAATACTGCACCTGGCAATAGACGGTCAGCAACTCAAGGCCACCCCCGAGTCCCACAGATTCAGTCACACACATGGGACTGGGGACCATACCCACAAAAGACTACCCCGGCCTTCAGGGAGCTCACAGTCTGCGGAAGAGCTGACGAGTGGGCGTATGACCGTAACAGCATACGGGAGGTGTGTGACCACTTGGAAGGGGAACCTCCTTGCCCCAGTGCCCGTGGGAAGGGTGTCAAGGGTATGTCCCCCTGAATACAGGGGGGTTTGCCATAGGAGGACTTTGGTCCTTCATTTTTAGAGTTTCACTTGTCAATGGACCATCAGCCTTGATCTCTGTGCTCTCTGATAGTTGCTCACTGTCTGTCAAGGGTTCAGCAAAGCCCCAACTGGCTCCCCGCATACCCCGCCCCACAGAAACCTTTGATGCTGAGAAGCATCAGAGCTGTCCGGGACCCTAGGGACAGGAAGAGCACTTGCTGTGCCCTCGAAGGAAGGAAGTCACACCAGCAGCAAGCCGCCGATGTGTGGGTTGGTTTGGCTCTCCCCCAAGTGCGACCTTCCCTCTGTGATGTGAGTGAGGAGGATGGTGGACTTCTTTCTTTCTTTTGCTCCCTCATTGTGCTTAAGAAATTAGTTTAAAAAAAAACATCAGGCACTTCTGACAACCCGTCCTGCGGCCCACCCCAAATCACTTTCAATCCACAACACTCATTTATTCCCAGTTCTGAGCTAGTTACCGTGCCAGGGGCTGTGGGATCTCACCATCGACAGGCTCTTAACTGCCCTTGGTTGGTCACAGTCTCTAGGGACAAGAGGCAAGAGGTAGATGTTTGCAGCAGACTGCAGCATAGCCCAGGCGAGCATAAAGGAAGCCCAGGCCCCCAGCCCAGCCTGGGGAAGGGGATCTCCCGCAGATGGCGTCCTGTTTGAACTGAATACACACAGATGAGGTGGGGGAGGGATTCATCCAGCCCCTGGGCTGTGTTGACCTGTGACCCTGCCTAGAAAGGCACGTCTGGTGGCCTCTGTCCTCTCTCTTGTCTTAGAGGGATGCGAGGGAGGTTGTGACCCTGCACACAGCTTAGCGGGTCCATATTTGTTCTGCAGACCCATCTTTCTCTCAGCTCAGCCCCAGAGCCTCGTGGGAGGAAACAGAGCAGGTTTCCCAGGACTGATCCTGCACCAGAGCGGCCAGCACCACCCTCTCCATTGGGGCGTGCCCGGTGCCCTGCCCCTGAGAGCTCCTGGGCCCTGGCGCGATGCCGGGGGCACTGGACCTTGATCCTCCGCTCTCTCTGTGTCTTTCCTCAGGCTGGTTATCCATCCTTCAGGGCGAGGCTGTGGGGGCGTAGCCCTCTCCCCAAACCCCGGCCACGGGGCTCGGCGCTGCCACTGAGGTACCCCAGTGCTGGTGTTTACTCTTCTTTATTCTCAAGCACCTTTTTTAAGCTCCCACTTATTCTGCATTTACTGTGTGCAGGGCAAGGCTCGGTTTCCACACCTCTCAGGAAATGAAGCCACTTAGTGTGGGGTCAGGTGGGTTCTAGATCTAGCGGGTGATCACCTCGTAAGTTATATAAACGTCTACTACGATGTTGTCCACCCGAAACTGATATAACTGTATGTCCATTGTAAATGAAAAAAAAAATTTTTTTTTTTAAAGTAAGGAAGTCCTTTAGCCAAGGTGTCATAGCAGAGGCGGTGTTGGAACCCGGGTCCGGCTGGCTCCTGGGTCCAGCTCCCACCACCCCAGGGCCCGCCCACAGCTCTCCTCAGGCGCTGTCCTTCAGTATCCTGGCACCTCCCTTTGTCGCCCTCGCACCTGTAATGGGAGAGGAAGAACGCTGCCCGACACGGGCACATTTCTCCCTGGGAGAGGAGGCCTAGGGCGGCTGCATTCAGATCCGCCAGCAGGGGGAGACAGAGTTCACGGGAACCCGCCTTAGCGGTCAGGCCTTGGCTTCACGTCGCGTCCTAGATGCTTCCAGTGGTTTTGCCCTTTCCCTCCTCAGTTTATCAGGAGAAGAAAAGACAACTAAATGGCCCACAAAAGATAATTCCTTCATTACATTACAAAGGAAAAAATTAGTTTCTGCCGGGTGAAATTCTCTATATACAGGATCTGCTTGAGTGTGGTTGATAGGGTAAGAATATGAGTGTAATAAGTTACAGTTTTAATGTGAACATTTTACCTAAAATGTCATATAGTGTGCTTAGAGGTGATATTGTTATGTTACAGAATTACATGTTTATGATTTTGTAATTAAAACGGGGCATTTTTTGTGCCGGACCCTGTATAACATTTGAGCTTCAAATTCTCTATAGATAACATTTGTAACATACATATGACACAATTTCAACATGTTTGAAATTTCCGTTGGCCATTGGAAATCTGCCATTTCTCCTACTTCCCCTTGGGTTAGAGTGTATTGTCCTTTCTTTAATTCAGGTGCTAAAGTGGACTAGGTTGCAATAGTCCTGGACTTGTGGGTGGGCCGTCCTTGGCTCAGTTATGTATTGCAGCACTTCCGTTGTGCTTACCATTTATGCTGCTGAAACTCAGGTTTGGAGTCTGAGAAAGAGATGTTTTCACTTTTGTCATGCAGAATTTGCCCTAAGACATGCTGGTTGGGGTGGGGGGTGGCGGTGGCTGGATGAGCAGCCCAGTGAGCACTGGCTCTGTCTGGTTCCACAACATCTCCAATGCCACCTAGGAGGCCTGGCCTGCTTGCGATGGATATGCAGGGACCCTTTCTACCATTTGATGGCCTTCTACCTTGACCTGCAGCCTTTACGCTGCACGAGAAAACATCCCCACCATGGCGTCTTCTCCACACTGTGCAGGGTCAGTTGCAAAACAGAAGGCATTCCTCCCGGTGCCCACACCCCACGAATTCACCCCTCCTCCCTTTCCTTTCCACAGAGACCCCCGTGTGCATTCTCACCCACCAGAGAAGGTGCCCTGAAGACCTCTTCGCAGGAGGCTGTGCCCAGGCAGCGGGGGGACCCGGGCCAGCAGCCCAGGGAGGAGTCGGTGGCGTCCAGCTGGGAGAGCGTGGACAGGCTGGACCAAACAAGTAACTGTTTTAAGCAGCAGCTCATTGGTCTGTGGGTTTCAAAACTGCAGTTTGGAGACTTCTGGGGGGAAGAAGGGCTTCTGGGCAAGAGTGTGAATTGCACATGGCTGCACAGACCCACCTCAGCCGCCTATAGAATGGGGGAAGACGAGGACTAGCCACCAGTCTGTGGACTAGGAAGGTGTGTCTCACTTATAGAGGCCAGGAACGCTAATCCAAGGGATTTGGGTCCCAGCATCTGGTCATAGAGTGTCCCTTCTGAAACCTGACGTATATGTTTATTAGGGTAACACCTGCTGCTATGCCAAATGAACCAAACATTTAGGCGGTTTAATGCAATACTTTTACTCCTCATCAAACAACAGGATAGTCCTCTGCCCTGTGGCTCTGCCGTCCTTTGGGGCCTCTGCGTCTTCAGCTGGGTCATTCACGTCTGGCCTGCAGGTGGAGGAAGAGAGATGGAGAGATCAGGGCATCTGCGGCCTAGCCGCTGGAACAGGGAAATGAGACAGACGCACACCACTTTCACTCCCAGTGCGTGAGCAAGAACTAGTCCCATAGCCACACCTCAGTGCAGAGGATCCTGGGAAATGTAGTCCTGGCTGGGAAAACACACACCAGCAACATGGTTCTTTGATGAACTGTGGAAGTAAAGATGCTCACCCCACCCTACACAGGTCAATGTCTTCCTCGCCCAGATACACGTATATAGATAGTGGAAGCCAGGCACGTTTGTCCCCACCCTGAGTTGTCAGTCAAGCCTCAACCCCTTTCCTCAGCAACAGCAGCAATGAATGACCAGCAAAATTCCCATTTTAGAAATATGCTTTTAAAGATTGTGTTACCACTTCGACTCTGTAAGGGAGAAGATTTAACTAACAGCTATGTGAGTAAATTCCACTGTTACCACAATACAAAAAAATATAAACAGTAAGTATTTTTAAAGTCACTCTAAAGATTTTCCAAAGGAGATCGTTTCCATGTTAACCTTGTAGTACCTGTCAGTAGAAACTGCAGAACTTCTGTGAGCACATGGAATTTTCCTTATGGAGGTACATGGTTCGGGGTTTTATTTTTTAAGTGCACTTTTTCCTTTCTAGGTATGTTTTTCTTTACCCCCTGGTGCCCAGCATATCCATATCCATACCCATTCATTCATTCATTCATTCATTCCTATTTTTTTTTCTTTCTCTCTCACCATGGATTGAAAATTCTCACAGAGAAGGAATTCTTAGATTCCACAGAACAAAAACAGCATTTCAAAATTCAAAATCACAAATTGATCACCCTAAAGGATATTTTAAAAGCGACTAAAAGACACTCCGTTTCACAAAATAGTTCCCCCACTGAATTATGAGCACTCCAAGTACATTTGCAGAAGGTTTTGGTTTTCAAAACATGAATGTAATTTTCTGTAAAAAAAAAAGGCACCCACGTGTCATTTATCAGTTGTATATAAACATAAAACTTAGTTCAACATCATCATACACACAAACGAGATTTCACACTCTGTCCAAATATCCATGCATCCCTCAGGATGAAGACTGAAAATGAAAAAAATATATATAAATGAATAAAGCCCTTACAAGGAAAACCGCTGGTCTTCCTGAGGAATGCTGGGCTGTGACATGCGGAAATGTCCAGGCCAATCCCGGAGGCCCGGACAGATGTCCAATATGTTTGGCAGGAAGCAAACTGTTCCTGGGGGCACGGCTCAGTCTCGGCAAAGCACAGATACAGAACAGGGGAGGCCTGAGGTGGGCGTCTCCTTAGCGGATGAATGGCCACTGGGCTATTGTCAGCAGCTCTGCCTATGCCTCGGGGGAGGGCTGGTGCTGGAGCCTGTTGGGCCATGGCAACAGGGGCACCGTGGGCTGAGCAAACCCCAGCAACCCCACTTTCAGCCTTGACAGTGCTCACAGCGGTTCACAGATTCCCCCCAAACATGTTATCACTTGAGGGACCTTGACTAAGCATCCCCTGGGTACACAGCTGGGACATGACTGTCAGGGGCCGGTCCCTGTGAGGCCTCAAGAGACTTCCTGGGGACCTTGAAGCCGGCCCCCAACTAGGCGTGCCCCTATGGACTTGCTAGAGCCTGGCTGCTCCCCAGGACCCAGGCAGGGGGAAGTGGCAGATGGCAGCCTCCCCTTGTGGTAACAGCGCTCTCTGCTCTCTCCTCCCTGCCACCTGCAGCTCTGGCCCCAGTCTTGCAGAGCCCCGATGGGAACTGGCTGGCCTTGAAGGACGGTGCTCTGCCCCCCACCCGCTGGCTGGCCAAAGCTACGAGCGGCACATTTCAGGCCCTGGAGGCTGTCTCCCATGTGGCGTCTGCCTACGAGGAGATGGGATCCGACAGCGAGGAGGACTTTGACTGGGGTGCGGCCCTGAGCACGCTCTGCCCGCGGCCCCCAGGTCTGCCCGGGAACCCCCAGCCTCGGCCCACGCAGGCCCAAGGCTCCGACCAAGTGTCCCCTGCCGCCTCCGCTCCCTCCAGGCTGTCCCCCAACCCCGAGGCCATGTGCTCTGACTCGGAGACCTCCTCGACGGGCTCTTCCCGGGAAGCCGGGCGGCGGGCCAGGCTGTCCTGGTTGCAGAGGAAGGCCCCCAGGAACCCTGCAGCTGAAAAGATGCACCTCCAGGGAGAGCTGGATGTGAACTTCAATCCCCAGGCAGCCAGCAGGGAGACCTCGGACAGCAGCGAGCCCGAGGAGGCCACCCACGCTGCAGACCGGCGGGCCAGGAGGTGGAGAAGGGCCCGTGTGGGCTCAGAGGAGCCAGCCAAGGAGCTGTCGTCCCCCAGCGCCCATTCCCAGGAGCTAATCACATACCAGGTAATAAAATAGGTGCACGCAAGTGCACGCACACTCTTTCCGGAAGGAGGGGCCCTCCTCCAAGCACGGGGCGCAGAGAGAGTCCTGAGTTAAGAGTTCACAGACCCAATTTCTCATTTTGGTTTTTGCTACTAAGTAGCTGAGTGACCTAGGCAGGCCCCTCTGAGGTTCCATGCTCCCCTCTCAGAGATGAGAACTTAGAGTTCACAGTAGGTTTGCAAAGCGTGGCCCCAGACCAGCAGCACCAGGGAACTAGTTGGAAATGCAGATTCTCGGGCCCCGTGCCAGACCTGCTGAATCAAAAACTCGGCGGCTGGGGCCCAGTGAGCTCTGCTGTAAAGAGCTCCCCTGCTAATACTGCTGTGCATTGAAGTTTGAGGGCCAGTGGCTTAGGGTGGAGGGTCTGGGGTCTAGAGTCAGCCTTCCTGGGTTCAAATCCAGCCTGTGACCTGGGGAGGGTGTCCCTCTAGGTCTCAGTTTCCTCGTCCGTAAAATGGAGCCATTAGAACCCACTGCAAAGAAGGGTTGAGATGAGTGTATACAGGAAGGTTTATAAAAAGCTGAGCTCTGTTGGAGCACAACAGCACAAGAGCTCAGTAAATGTTACTTCAGTATGCTCATTCGGAGCGTGATTTCCTGGCATTCTGTGGATCCTTAGTCTGTATCACTCCCATTCTCAGGATTCTTGGTGGCTCTGCCAATGCCTAAACCAATGCCTCCCTGGCATTGCTTTATTCTTGTGTGTGGCATAAGAAGGTGGTCTAATTTCATTTTTCTGCACACATCTGTCCAGTTTTCCCAATGCCATTTATTGAATAGACCATCTTTATCCCATCCTTTGTCAAATATTAATTGACTACAACGGTGTGGGTGTATTTTTGGGCTCTCTGTTCTGTTCCATTGATCTGTATGCCTGTTCTTATGCCAATACCAGACTGTTTTGATTACTATGGCCGTGTAGTGTAGTCTCATATCAGGTAGCATGATTCTTCCAACTTTGTTCTTCTTTCTCAAGATTGCTGTGGCTATTTAGAGTATTTTGTGGATCCATATAAGTTTCTGGCATATTTGTTCTAGTTCTGTGACATAAGCCATTGGTATCTTGATAGAAATTGCATTGAATATATAGATTGTTTTGGGTAGTATGGACATTTTAATGATGCTAATTCTTTCCTATTCATGAACATGGTATATGCTTCCACTTATTTGTATCTTCCTCAATTTTTTTCCTCGGTGTTTTATAATTTTCTGAATATAGGTCTTTTACATCTTTGGTTAAATTTATTCCTGGGTATTTTATTTCTGTATGCAATTGTAAATGGGATTGTGTCCTAATTTTTTTTTCTGATAGCTCCTATTGGTTATAAAAATGCAACTGATTTCTGGATATTTATTTTGTATCCTGTTACTTTACTGCACTTATTTATCAATTCTAGATTTTTTTTTGGTGGAATCTTTAGGGTTCTTTGGTAACCAGGTGAATTTCACATTCTCTAAATGCATGCTGCTCTCCCCCAGCTCTGTGTCTGTGATCATGCCCGGCCCTTGCCCTCCCCTCTTGCCAGAGAAGGGCTGTGATCACCATGGACTAAATACCTAGCTTCGTGGGGCCCACCCTGGCCTTCCTGGAGCAGCATTTTTTAAACTCAAAAAGGACACAGGAAAAGTAGCCAGGAAAGTTGAAATGACCTTACATAAGCAATGGATTGCAGTATCTGAAGCCGAGAGCGTTGTGGAAGACAGTTATGTTGCCTGTGCCTTCCGTAAGGACCTCACCATCACTCTCTTGCATTGCTCTCAGCTTGACTTTTTACATACCTGGAGAAACCACTCCCACTTCCTGAACATCATAGCACCTTCAGTAGCACCCAGCCACTATGCCCTGCACTCTTAGTGTGGGTTCCACTTACAGCAGGTCCCGCGTCAAGGATTGGGGTGTAGGTTTTTGTGGGAGGAGACCCCAGGAAGCCCTGGGGTGAGACAGGGGAGTGAGGAAGGCCAGTGAAGGAACGCTATGGGCCGGGGGGCTCCATCCCATCAGGGACCCTGTGAGCAGCTGCATGGATCAGAGCTAAGAGCTGTCCCACTAGAAGGCAGGGAGTAGTTACCATAACCTCCCATCTCCCACTGGTGGAGAACGATCCCACCCAGGAGGGGCAGGAACTCCATACACAGCCAGGTTTGCATGGATGGTGCCTGAGAAATCCCTCAGGCAGAGGAGAAGAGACAGACCCAGATCTGAAGTAGGGAACTATTAGGGGGCCAGAAACTGTCCCTTGTGGCTACAGGCAACTCAGGTAGATCCAGGGGATACAGGCTGGGGACATCACCAGCACCTGCCACAATGACTGTCTATGAAAGTGTCAGCCAGACACCCTCCTAAAGGTAGCTGTGAACACAAAGATCCTCAGGTCACAGAATCTGGCGTCAGTCCTGCCTGAGCTGCTAATATAGTGCCTTCTAGAAAAAGTCCTACATTTGGTCCAAGCTCTCACTTTCTCCTCTGTAAAACAATGTCATTACAAATCTGCCTCCTGGGATTGCTGTGATGGTAGAGCAGAAATACAAAGTTCTGTGCACCTGTGAGTCATTATTGTTTAGCTCAAGTGCAGGCTGTTTGCCAGAGACTCTGAGTAACTTCCCTCAGGGATACTCTTGAGGGTTGTCTGCACACTTGTGGGTATAAAATACCATATATGCACCATAACTAGGTGCCTGAAGCTTCCTATTTATTCTGAAGTGGCTGGAAAGTTGCCTTCTGGCATTAATCTTTGCAAGGCATCTATAGGGAAAAGGCAAGAGCTCAGACAAAGGTGCTGGGACCAGTGTTACCAGACGTCCACCTCCCTGGTAGTGTCCTCTCCTTCCCACTAGGTGGCGATGGTGTTGCACTTCCAGGGACTTCAAAACCCTAGCCTGCCTGCTGGTCTTCTATTTAGTTTTCTATATATTGTAAATTTCAGTAAATATTAGACATTTCAAAACACAGACATAGTCCTCTTGACCACAACGCTAAATCTCTGCCGTCTCCCCCCAAGTGACAGCACTTGTATTTGTGCATTTATGCGCACACAGTACATTTAGAAATACAGCTCTGTAAATGTATCTGTGTTTTGGCAAAACCAGCGTCTTTCTCTCCATATTCCTCTGCCTCCTTCTCTTAACAAAAAGCAATAGAGATGTCAGCACACACAAAACAAAGCCTAGAACCTGCAAAATATTACATCACATGGTCCCCGGGAGGAGTGTGGGAGCGGGAGCAATCCATCCAGGGCACAAGCAATGAGGGAGCAGCCCTTCCTTGCCTGTAGAGGATTTGTAAATAAATAAGTCTAACAAAAGTCAGCCTTTTTCGTATAGGTCTGCACCGTACAGGGAAAATTCTAAGCAATGCTACTGATGAGGCTGCTCCTAGTATCCATCCAGCCCCCTGGGTTCTCCACTGGGTTGTGGGGACAAATCAACAATCAATAGTTCCCACAATGGTGGGTATTTAAGGCTTTTCTGTGGTTGATGTTATAAACAATACTGCAGAGAGAATCATTGTACAGGTCCCTTTGTAAAAGTACAGGAAGCAGGATCGCTGATTTGAAAGGTATAATGATCTTTAATTTTAATGAGTACTTGCCGAATTAAGCTCCCAAAACCTCATAGCAATTTGCATGGCATAGCACGATTTGGGTATGCTTTCTCCTATTGTCCACAATACTTGGTGCTGTTAGTCTGTTGAATTGTCACCAATTTACGTGAGGAAAAGAATACATTTCTTTTTAGTTAACATGTCCATAGTTACTACTGAAGTTGAGCATTTTTTTCTATATTTAAAGCTACTTCCATGTTTTCTCCTTTGGAAGGCACATTTACCTCCTATTATTTTGTTGCGTCATTTGCCTTTTTTTAAATTGATTTTTATGAATTAGTTCTATTTTGTAATTATATTGTAGATTTTAGTTTTTTGATGGTTACACATTGACAGTATTCTCCCCTTGTTTATCACTGCTGCCTTAACTTTATTTAAGTCTATTTTACATGCAAAAGTTTTTGTTACTAATAATTTATCAATCATTTTTTATCATAATTTCTCAGTTATTTCCTTTGTCTTTTTCATTTTGTACCTTGTTTTAGAAAGCTTCAAATCCTCAAGGTTATAAGAATATTTCCCTAATACTTTGTAGTTTTGTATTTTGCATATAATCCTTTACTCCATCTGTACTTTCCTGGATGATATGAGAAGATCTGACTTTATTTTTTTGGGTTAAATATTTCTCACCAAATCATTCTTAAATAATTCCTCCTCTATCTACTGGGTTCAGATACCCTTTTTAATATATATTAACCTCCTTTTACTCCCGCGAGCCTAGCTTTTTACTCTCTCTTTTGTTCCATTCATCTGGAAGTCCCATTCATGTACAAATACAACTTTATTTTAATTACAAGAATTTTATAATCTATTTTGATATTTTACTGTTGTTTTTGTTAATGACATTTTATAAAAGTGTCTTGACTTTTATCGGTGCTTTTACCCTTATAAATGGTTTTTTAAAATCTGCTTTCAAATACAAAAAAAAACCCAACCCCACCTTTTTAAAAAGTTTTGATTGGGTTGCTCCAAATGTATTTACTATTTGGGAATAATTTACATCGTTACACATCGGAGTCTCCTCCAATCTCCTGCGACTGAGGCTCATAGTCTTTTGCCTTCATATCCATCGGTCTCCGTTCCCCTAACCCGCCTCCGTCAGTCACTGTAGCCGCCCCCCGTCTGTGGTTTTCCTCCTGTCTGTCTCGTCAGTCTGGTGAGCCTCCCAGACGTCGCAGCAGCCCCCGTGTGCTGTTCCGCTCCCCGCTCCCCGCTCCCCGCGCCGCCTCACCAGCCATGATTAGCAGATGCGGCCCGCTGAGCGCGGCAGTTCTTTCCCACATCCTCTAACTTCATCCCCGACCTCAAATCCTCCCTCCTGCGTGAGTCTCTGTGCAAGCTGCCATCACAGAGAGCTGAACACGTCCTTCTGTCCTAAATAACCTCCAACGCCCTGGTGCCCATGGATGAGATGAAATTTTTGGTCAGAACCTCTTTTCCTCCAACACTCTGCAGCAGATAACTTTAGTGTTGGGTTGAAGTCTGAAGAGACAACCTAATTTTCCCTTTAGACAGGGGTGGGCAAACGGAGGTTTACACTTGCTAGTCCACAAAACAGGGTGTATTCTTGTATAATTATTTATTAACTATTGTATTATTTTCTATACAAACTGTAAACCTCCTTTTGCCCCATCTTGCAGGTAACATTTGTTTCTCCTCCTGAAAATGTATTTGATTTGTTGTTTCTTTAAAAAGCAAGCACTTCTGCCAGCACGGTAGATGTGTGTGCGTTTCGTGCTGCGGCACATGGTATGTGCACACTCCGCTACTTTTTCCACTTGGCAGCATTTTCCTCTGTCATTGTGACTATAGTCATTCTCCCAGGCCACCTGTCATTGGTACATGGGTATTGGTTCTCTGTCTTCCACGTCTGCAACCGTCCCTCACTGTTTTCCTGCCTCGGTCTTTTCCTTGGCCTCCCCAAGTTTGTCCTCCAGCTCCCTCGTGTCTTCCCAAGGTTTATGCTGCTGTCCCCTCCTCAGCTGGAGGTTCTAATCCTGTGGCGGTGTCGTCCGTCTTTCTTCAATCTGTTGTCTCCTTAGTCTCCCCATTTCATCTCACCCTATAGTCTTTTAGTCTCGTGCTTAATCCCCTATAACTCTCTCCACGTCACTGCCTCTCTGTAATTACCCCTTTTTAATGAAAATGCAAAACTACTAATCTAATAGACATTGTGTCCTGGTTGCTAGTAAAATTTGTGTGATGTCTTCAAGCTTTCTTTTGCCTTTTTTGCTCTGCCGTGTTTTTCCGTAGGTTCATGTTAAACATTTTCTGTTAGTCATTTTTGGATCAGGATAATGCTTTCCGCACCCTGTTGTTTGCCAATATCCAGCATCGTCGAGTCATTTCCCCTCTGCTCGCTTAAGAAAGGAGTTGTTTCTTCCTCTCATGGTCTCACTATAGGTATCTTTGAACAGACGGCTAAGAACATTGGTGCATACTCATATATTGAAGAAGTGAATGAATAGAAAACAACAAAACTGTTGTATCCTTCTACACGGTTTTCATAGTCTCCATCCTAGGACTTTACATTTCATGACCCCACCTCCTAGGACGTAGCTTGGCACCGTAGCTAGTTCTTCCCTTTACCTATTGGCATGTTGGGGGGGAAATACATTTCCTAAGTGGCCAATAACACAGGGGAATATTAAGCGAGGGTTGGGAGTAGGGCTTATCTTTGGCTGCCTGAGGAGGCCGCCACCACAACAGAAGGCTCAGGTGCTGCGTTTCTGTTTATTTGTTTTATGATGGGCATTCATTTTACATTCTGGACCAAGGTTTGAGGTCGGGAGGATATTCTCACTACAGCAGGTCCTGTGAATAATGTCATTTTGTTCAACGTTGTTTCATTTTAACATTGATGACAGTATTAGAAAATTGATTCCCAGCCGGGGCCACTGTGTGGAGTTTGCCGGTTCTCCACGTGTCTGCCTGGTTTTCTCCGGGGACTCCATTTTTTCCCCACGCCCCAAACATGTGCCTGTGAGGTGAATTGGCGTGTGTACCTTGTCCCAGTGTGAGTGCGCGTGGGCGTATGCGTGGCCCCGCGAGGGGTAGGCATCCTGCCCAGGGCAGGCCCCATCTTGTGCCCTGAGCTGCCAGGGTAGGTTTCAGACCCAGCAACCTTGAACTAGAATAAGGGGGTTAAAAAAAATAATGATCTTACTTGTTTTTCTTAACCTTTCTTAAATGAATGTAGAGCTTCCATTTATTTCAATGTTTAACGTTAGAATTGTTTGGGGTCTTTCTTTGGTGATATTTTTGTGATCAGAAATATGGCATAGGAACTTACTTTCGTTTGTGTCCATTAGCCTACGGTAGAGTTGGTTTCTTTTTAGGTCATATCACTTAAAGTCATAGGTTCCAAAAACCTACCAACAACATTAAGTGAGGACTTACTGTATCAATTTTTCTTTGGAGATGTAAATATCTGTTAATCTACTTGATAACTATTACATGGCCAAATATTACCGAGGTAGCTTTGCAGCTCTGGTGGCTTCTGACAATGATGCTTCCATCGTGTTTATGGCATTACATCTCTGGGCGTCACATCCCTGTGTGCGTGATCGCAGAGTCCTTATTGAACTCGAGGGCCATCACTTTGCATTAATACAGTGCTCAGCTCAAATAAAACGTGAGGTCTAGCCTTACAATTTTTAGGATTCCATTCTTTAAAGCTCTGCTCAGGTATGAGCTATTCCATTTCCCCTTCCCTGGTGACATTTACTTCAGCCAACTAGGGGAGCCTCATGAAACGCTCTAAGCCTCCTCACACCGTCACCTGTGTGTAGTTGTGCCCCAACGCATCCGGATCATCTGGTCGGGTGTCCCTCCCTGCATCAAACTATGAACTCCACCAGAGCAGGAACATTGTCCCTCTCACTTTTGAGCTTCAGGAGCCATCACAGGGCCCAGCACTTAGTAGGCACGCAGTACACATTTGCTGGATGTGGACTGAGTCACCATGGATTAATTCTTCGTAAGTTCTTATATGGAAAAAAAGAGAAAATAGGACAAAGCCGAAGTAAAGCAAAGTACAGGTAAGATGAATTGACCATTGGGTGTGTTAAATCTATTGAGTGAGATGGTAAGAGAAGGTTACCAGGGGTGAGTTTGTAGCCAGGCGCTGACTCCCTGGTGGATCTCGTGCATACCACGACAGTCGCCGCTGAGTTCTTTGCGAGGAGAAGCTCAGTTCCTTGAGCTGATGCTTAGCTCTCGGTAGCCTGATCCAGACCTGTCTGCTTGCAGCTCCCAAGTTTTCCACTCTCTCCACTTCTGGGCCTTTTTCTTCTCATTGCACCAAGCAGTCTCACGTATCCTGGGTCTTGTTTGTCCTGCTGCTTCCTCAGTAAGAATGCCTGGCCTCCTGTCTACGTATTAAAATTGTCCTCATCTTTCAAGACCCTGCTCAGAGGCTGTTCTTCCCATGAAGTTCCCCATGTCCCATAAGGAATTCCTCCTTCTGAAGCAGGACCAGAAAAGACAGTCATTTCCAATGGACCTTTTTTCACTTATCAATCCAGTGATTCTGTTTTTCATGTCTACAGCCTACTTCCTTCTAATCACCTTTATGTAGTCAGCCGCCCTTAACATTTGTTCAATTACAAACCATATCAAGCCAACCTGATGCATAAATATCATTAAAAATAAAAGGCTGTCACACATCTTTTTAGCAAAGCAGAATGATCCAGATTCTGGTTGTAAAATGTATGGGATAAAGCCCTTCCCATTGAATGACTAACTAAATGAAAATACCATATTTTTGTCCTTATTCGTATGTTGTTTACTCATTGATTCTTGAGTTAAAGATAATTCACCTAGGACACTATCATTTGAAGACTCAGTCTGGAATTTTGCATCTAGAATCAACTTTACCTCATTGTTAGAGTCTAGAGAGCTGGGCTCCTCTTTGAATTCATCTACTGAGTCACCTAATAATCGCAAAGTGTAATTCCCTGTCAGTTTCTTCTCTTTGCCATTATGAAATTTTAGATTCTCAACTGTATGCAATGAGCTAAAAGCAAACTCACAATGGCGATGATTGATTTCGCTATTGAGTCATCCTTCTGGGCAATTCTGTTCTCCTGTATTATTGTCTCAATCTCTTTTAGCATAATTGGGAGTGACTGATGAGTAATAATGAAAGATATTTCCCAAGATGATGAAATAGCAACATATTTCAAAAGAGAGGAAAAATAATATCACAAAGATCCCATCGCGTACCTTAGATTTTTAAAAGGGCCCAATGCACCCATATAGTAAACGCAAAATAGAATGAGTTATATCTTATTTAAAATACCAGTAAATTTTTTCTTTATTCTTTGGAAGCCCTTCACACAATAATAAAAGCCATGAACTAGCAAGCCTTATAAAAGGACTGAACAACTCAAAGAGAAAATTCAAAAAACTAAAATTGGGCTGAATAGACGTGGATGGTGTGCTGAGGGTTGTCTTAACATTCCATAGATGTCTGTCCAAGTCCAGAAGAAAGTGAGGGTCACAGCCTCCATGGCCCGCATGGAGCTCCCCAGGCCTCGTCAGGGCTTAACTCACACAAGGAACCTAAGAGAGACTCACCGAGTGGGTAGCATGGGCCATTGACGTAATTACTAACCCCCATCTCTGCAGCCACCATAGCGATAGTCCGTATAGCAGGTGTTCATAGGGCCGCTTCACCGGGCGACCCAGGTTGTTCAGCCTTGCCTCATCAGCACCAGCACAGTGCTGCCCAGGCTGTGTGCTCAGTAAGCATTTTGCAAATGAAAAATACTGGTGGATTCCAACACATTTCTGAGTACAGATGCTCACCTGCCCAAACCCTTTCACAAAGGGTTGAGATGCCCGTATTTGAGAAAAGAAAAGTAAAAAGTGAACGCCTATCTTTAGAGGGAGCAGACCAGGTCGGAGAGCTGTTCCCTTCCTGGTGCATCCTTCACTGGGTGTTACTGGGGACAACAAGCCACACACCTGTAGCAGAGGCATCCTCAGCTCATGATTCCCATTTTCATTCAGGTGTCAGGTGATTTCTCAGAGACTGACATCAGCTCCGAGACTCGGCACCCCCAGACCAGTGCAGATACCGCGGAGGAGAAAGTAAGGAACAAGTTGTTCGAGTTAGCCATGAAAATGAGCGAGAAGGAGACGTCTTCAGGGGAGGATCAGGAGTCTGAGTCCAAGACGGAGTCTGAGAACCAGAAGGAGAGTCTGTCATCTGAAGACAATAGCCAGAGCATCCAGGAAGAGCTGAAGAAGGTAAGGGCTGTGAAACCACCTGCAGACGGCTCAGTTTCTGCAGCCAGGACATAGGGAAAGGCTCTATATTTGCACAGATCTAGTGGGTCCCCAAAGATCTCTCTCTAAAACGGTCTTCCCTGCATGCTTGGGGAAGCCTGCAGGAGGTCTTCTGATTAGATCTTAGATCTGGGTGATTCAGTCAGGAAACCAGCTTTGTGTTTTATGGAAGCCTCCCGAGGCTTCTCGTCTCCTGAGAACCGTCCTCCAGCGGCACGGCCCTTGGGTCTCAAGTCTATAATTTCACGCCCGTGACCTCTCTCACTGGCAAGGAGCAGGGCTACCCACCGTCCCATGAGGAATTTTGCCTGTGCCTTGGGAACGCCGCACCATCCCTCTTTTAGTGAATGAGGAAGCCTCATGTCGTGCGTGGTCTTTATGGGAAAGTGGCCTCCTGGATCATTTCTCTCTGCGGTTTTCAGATTTGAGTTGGTCTGTCTCCGCTTCAGAATCCTTACTGGAATCCCAGTGTTGTAAACAGACTAAATATACTGCTACTGCCAGGGCCCCCAAAGCCCCAAACACTGATCCTCAGTTCCACCCTCCTCCCACTCCCCCACCCGACCCCCACTAGCCAGGCCCTGGTTTCCAAGTGGCATTGCTGGGAAACCACAGAAAAGAGATCCAACCACTTGAAGAAAGAGATCCCAGACTCCCTGCCCCCAGCCAGCACTCTGCCCCAACCCCGCAGCATGCACCGGGGTTCCCTCAGCAGCTTCTCCAAGCAAGTGCATGCTGGACTGGGCCACTTTAGGGTCGGGCCATCCCTGATGCCTCCAATGGAGGGGGAAGAAGCTGACACTTGCTGATTGTCTCCTCTGTGCCTCATGCTCTGCACATATTGGGGAGTTCATTTAATAAAAGCTCTTCGGTGTAGACACAGCCCCTTTGGCGAATGAAGCAGCCTCAGCTGGTGTTAATCAGGAAGGAACTTACGCAAACCCACGGCTAGCGGGTGTCAGCGCTGGGGCTGCGCCGCAAAGCGGCGTGACCCCAAGTCATCGGCCCCTTCCTTTACAATGAGCCACTCTTGTCTGGAAACATCTAGATTTCTTTGTCCTTGTGATCAGTTTGCTCCTGTTTTGAGACTATGCCATATAAGCCAGCAGGTTACTGGTAACCCACATGCATGTGTGAATGAGCCCCCTTCATCTGCCCAACAGCCAAGCTGGAGTACCAGGGAGTAGCCAGGCCAGCCTCAGAATGACCACAGGTGGTCCAGAGCAGGCCCGAAGAGAAGTGGGGACTGCCCTCCATGGCTAAGCCCGAGTCCTTCGGCATCTCAGACTCTGCCTCCCACTCTTTCCACCCCACTCCCCATAGCCATCGAGTCCCCACTCAGGAACCGGCAGGGCCCTCTGCTGTGGGCAGCGCACACGTCTTTCCCCTGGCGGGTCTGTGGCTTGGAGAACAGAGCTCGGCCTTTATGGGCAGCCCGTGGCACGCTCTTGTCTGTTTTGGTTTTTAATTGATTCCTAGGACCCAGTCCAGGTCTTCATTGTTGGTTGGGTCAGAAATGTTTCTTCCGGTTTCTAAATCCCATGGTTCTTCCAAATTCCATGTAATGGATTAAATAGGAGTTTGTTTCTTGGCCTAAGTGTCATTTGTGGCACTGTTTATAGGACAAATGATGTCCTATGGGTCGAGCTTTTGGAACATGAGTGTTTGTTGAAGCCTCAAATTAGCAAATTCTTGCATTGTGGTCAAATTTGTGCATCCTGTGTCCTGAAGGCATTTTTATTTAAAGTGTCTTTGTTTATGAATTATTATCACAAGTAGCTGAGTCATGGTGCTTTATTTTTCGCAAGGGAGTCATAGACCAGCTGACATCTCTCATGTTTATAGTTTCATGGAATAATTTTCAGCCAAGTACTGAGACTTCTCTAAACTAAGAAAGTGTCTTTGGGCTTCTTCTCATGGCTGCTCTCCATTTACTAATACCAGGTTCCATGGAAACACAATCCTGGTCGGAAGTCAAGGAGACAGGTTTATTGGCTGTTGTCTGAGAAAACCCAGAGCCTTGGGTTTCTGAACTTTAATGGGCTTGTGACAAGCCTTTTGTTGACATCACAGTGTTAACATAAAATCAAGTACTGTTCATGTGTATCCCACCCTTGTAAAGTAACTCACCATTCACAAGGGGCTTTGCTGTCTTCCATCCAGGTTGCATATTTAAGAGCGTCTTTATCTTTAGTTGGGGCTGAAGTGAACACAGTGCTAGACACTCATTTGTATCTTACGGACTCCACTGATCTCCATTGGTTGTAGGCCTATGGCAAAACTAACATCTCTTTTCTAACTTTCTATTTAACTGTGGCCCTAGGAAAAAAGAGAAACATGAGCTGTCCACTTAGGGCTACAACTCTTATGCACAGCGCTTGAACAGGTGAGGAGGCTCATTTCTTGTGGTCATTGGCTCCACTCATTCCCACAGCTGTGTCCTGCGTGCAGAGACGGGGGCAGGGCCTGCCGGTCTGAGAAGACGGAGTTCCAGGTCCTCTCCTGGATCACTGGGCTCCAGCAGAACATCCCCCTCTCTAGGCAAAGGATGAACTAAGCACCAGAGAAAGACTGACCAGAACTCCAATGCAAAGATTCCTTAAAGCCTCTGTAAAATGCAGGTGCTATCTGAAGGGTCAGGAAAAACCGATGTTACATCAGCCACAGTGGTAGAATGAGATATTAGACAGATGTGGTTTGAAGAGAGAAAGGCAGAGCAGCCTAGAAGGTTGTAAGTAGAAAGGTCTAGGAACCAAGGCTCCAGTTTACAGCCCTGCCCCCACTAAAGCCCAAAAATAGACACCCTGAGGAGAGGGGATCAGGGGCGATAAGAGGGGAGAAAGGACAGAAAAGATGCTGTGTGCCCGAAGTTCTGCGGATACACAGGACGGTGCTCTTGGAAAACATTCTGGGTAGAGAGAAAATCAAAACATAAGAAAGCAAAAAAGAAAGAGAGGAAGGAAAGAAGGAAGCGAGGAAGGAAGGAAGGAAGGAAGGAAGGAAGGAAGGAAGGAAGGAAGGAAGGAAGGAAGGACTGTCTCAACTACAAACACAAGTACCAAAATCCCAAATAAAATACTGGCAAACTAAATTTTGCAATATTAAGAGACTCACAAGCCATAAGTAATAAATTTATTCTGAAAATGTAAAAATAAAGTTAATAGCAGGAAATATCATTTAGTACATACTATTTTTTTAAAGCATGTCATAATCTCAAATGGTGTCAAAATGGTCCTTGGAAAGGTTTAATATGTAATACACTTTAAAAACTCTCAATGGAATAGATCATTCTGATTAAAAATACCCATCTCAAAGCAATACAGTGAAACCCTAAAGGGTTTCTCCTGAATGAGACCTCATTGTAAATATAAAAAAAACTTGAACATCTTAATATTTTACTATTGATCAAATATATGACAAAGAGTTGCAAATCTAAATGCTTTTACATAACTATGTATTTTGTTAATTAAAATGGTATGTACATATGCTTGAAAAATAAGAAATATCTGTGGCTTTAAGGTTTTTTTAATTATAGGTGAGTAATTTGATATTGGTAATAATTTTTTAAATACTCACTACTCCAAAGAAGTAAATGAGCAAACCTGGCTCTGGAAGTGTTACAAAACCTGAACAGACCATGGAAGAAATTGGCAAAGTAGTTAAGGAATTATTCCTCAGAAAGAAACTAGACCCAGTGTCTCTGCCAATAAAATCCATGAAATGTTTATGGTACTAATCACTCCCATACTATTTAAACTGTTCTTTAGCATTAAAAATATTGAAAGCATTCAAGTTCATTTTATTTATTTAAAACCTTGGTCTGAATCTGACCCAAAATTCATGCACCACCACCAATTTGCATACTAATTCACTGGTTAATAAATATTCAAATATTCTCAATGTGTTAGCAAATTGTTTCCTACTACATAATAAAATAATGATTTACAATGGCCAAGTAGGATTTAGTCTAGGAATGTAATAATGTCAATTTTAAGAAACATTAATATTTCCCATTATATTTACAAGTAAAAGGGGAGAAAACATGGTTATGCTGTTAAATTCCTAGATTGGTATTTGACATAAAGTAGGAAATTCATAAATGTTGAATGAAGAATTAATTCCAAACACCAGCTAATAAAGTTAAGCAACCATTTCTGATTTAAAAAAAAAAGATAAAAACTCAACAGCAGTAGCTGTGAGCCTTTTGAGGGTTGCAGACCTCTTTGGTATTTGACGAAAGCTACGACCTTTCTCTCCATAAAAGTGTAAAGAATGACAATGATTTTACGGATACACTCCCTGGAGGAATCTCGCCCACCCATGCATCAGATAGTAGGCATACAGACCTTGGACGTGGCTCTGGACCCTGGAGTGGCCTGTGAACCAACTCCAGCCCCTCTTGGCCATGGTCCCGGAGCCCCGAGAGAACACTACATAGAACAGTCACCCAGGAGTCCAGCAGAGAAGTTCCAGCACACCACCCATGACAGAAAAAGGGAAAGTCATCAATTGACAGAGATAACAGGGGAGGAAGATAAGAACAAGAGAACAACAAAACAACCAGAAAACAAAGAAAAAATGGCATTATGATAATAAGTCCTTACCTATCAATAATCACTGTAAATGTAAATGGATTAAATTTTCCAATCAAAAGATATAGAGTAGCTGAATAGTTTTAAAAAGAAGATGAAGCCCTGACCAGTGTGGCTCAGTTGGTTAGGCACCATCAGGCAAAGTGAAGGACGACTGATTTGATTCCCACTCGGGGCACGTGCTTCGGTTGCAGGTTTGATCTCCAGTTGGGGAGCGTGCGAGAGGTAGCCGATCAATGTTTTTCTCTTGCATCAATGTTTTTCTCCCTTTCTTTCTCCTTCCCTTCCCCCTCTCTAAAAAGTAAATATATATAAATATGTAAGTAAATAAAAATTTTAACAAAGAAGACCCAACTGTGTGCCTATAAG